AATAGCTATAGTATACGAATTAATGCCGTATTTGAATGAAACAGCCCTTTATTGAAGGGAGAGACGGGATAAATCAACACTCTGGTTTGCCAGTTTTATTAAATGTATTGATGGTCGAAAATCTGCCAGTCTAACAATACAAAGTCCCAAATCACATTGATCCTGGAAGCTTGCAATTGGTTTTTATTGTAGCAATATATGCATTCTGTGGCAAGCAGGTTTACATAGGCTCTAAACTTCCAAAGTATCTAATTAGGTATACACAGATAGTAAAATTAGAACTAACAACTTTTCAGCAATATCTGTAAAAAAAGGAAACTATTCAAAACTCGAAAGTGTAGAAATATTGTACCTTATTCGCTTCTCGATCCAACAAATAAAAGTATAAGAACAAGATTCATGCCAGTCCATCCTCCCGCTAAACACCTCGTCGTTACTCGCCGTCCGTTATCGGGAGCTTCGCTGCATAATTCAACACTACCCTCGGCATGAGTGACGAGACCGAGTGATAGTGTGATTCATTTACCTCGATTTTTCGCTCACTCACCAGATAAATCTTGGGGAGTTTATGAACGGTTGGGGGATGCTTTGTTTTAATTTTGGGTTGGAATTGATTGCGTAGTTTCAATTGGAGTTGGAAAAAGTAAGGGTATAAAGTGTGACGTAAATGATATTAAAAATAAGAAACCATCTTTGATTTCGATCTTGTAAACACAAATGCACCGTGACTTCCTGAAACTCTTTTGAAGAACATTAAGATAATACTTTTCTATATCGATGACTGTCTACCAAATCTTCTAACCGACATAACAAGATCTGAAGAACATGGATTTGGAACTCGCCACCACTAGACTATTGAGGTAAAGCCACTCACGTAACACAAGGATATTTAGCTTATAGTAAGGGATTAATATCAAACAGAGAACGGGCAGCAGCGCTCTCTAAAAAACATCAATCTTTTAAACTGCCTTCTTCAACCCGCCAGCCAAGCGTGGGGATTATGGCAAAACCTTCCACTATAGTAGAGGAGGCTCGTAGTCGTAGTGAAAGGGCTGTTGATCATGATAATGATGATGAGGGGTTAACATATCTCTAACTCTAGAAGTATTAACGATCTAGTACCAATGGTACCATGACCCCTAGGTCTTATACCAATATTCCCACAGGGCGGGGTATACCTGGTGGACTTCCTGAACGTGTACGGGCCGGGGCTGGCGATTCTCTTCGTGGTGTTCGCGGAGGCGGCCGGGGTCTGCTGGGTGTATGGGGTCGACCGCTTCTCAGCCGACGTCAAGAGCATGCTGGGTCACTCCCCGGGGTGGTTCTGGCGCGCTTGCTGGTCTTACATCAGGTAAGATGGCGCCTTAGGTGATTCCTAGGATTGACGTCGACAACCCAAATTGTGAAACAATAATTACCTATTGTTACCAGAAAAGGAGAGCCTTACATTTACTAGTAAGTAATGACTTCGTCGTACAGTTTTTAATAAGTACGATTTTTGGCCGGAGAATTATTAAGGATTTCATACTTCAGAGAGTAAATTAAGCTATCGGTTGAGCAATATTGCAATATTGGTGGTACACAAAGAGCAGCATCTTAGGTTACCTTTATTGAGAAGCGATGAAAGATGATTCGCTACGGTTCTGTTAGGTTAAAAGACAGTGCAGGCTTTGAAAAAGCTGGCTTCTGTTAACTTGCTGTGTTCTTCTAATAAGTAAAATCTGTGTTAAAAAAGCTGCATAAATACAAAAGTAATGCATTATAAATAATGTCCAATCAATAATTTTGGGCGTGACCTACCCACTCTTAGGCCCGTATTCACAAACATTACTATGAGATCTCACAGTGCGCGTGGACGCACAGGGTCACACATGAACCGTTCGATTTGCTGCTTCACTTAAGCAAACATCGTTTATAAATACGTTCGTTCATACTTTCTCGACCGGTAACACTTTTTCCACCTCCAGCCCAGTATTTCTGCTGGTCCTCTTCGTGTTCTCCCTACTGTCCCATGAGGACATGCTGGGCGCCGGAGACTACGTGTACCCGCAGTGGTCCATCACCGTCGGCTGGATCATGACCGGCACCACCGTGTCCTGCATACCGCTCTACATTGTCTACAAGTTCCTGATCACGCCTGGCAGCTTTATGGAGGTGAGTGATAAAATAAATACAAACTCAGTCTACGTTGTAAGGAGAGATCCTTGCAACACTGGCTTTCAGCTATGCCCAATTCTCTAAGATTTTGAGCGAGAATAAAGTTATGAGGGCTTAAGAAATAAGTGATCTGATGATGCATTTGCAATTTCCAAACCCGTACCATAAATTCGCTTTTTTTTTTCTTTTTTTATCCACGTTTCGTTGCCGTTGACACTCGACTGAAAAGGGATCTTAAGGCTTTACCAACCTGAAGATCTTACAGAGTTCTAGGAGTATCTAATTTTTATACCAGTTGTAACAGCGATTACTATGGAATTTCCTAACATGACATCCCAAGTAATATTATTGCTTTGATTAGTATTTTCTTGATGATAAAGAGATTTTTAGGGAAAAACTTTCAAGGGATATTGTCCATTTCAAAATGGTGTTGTCGTAGTGAGTATACCTACCAAAATGTTCTCCCCACAGAGAATAAGAACAATCAAACGCCCGGAGGTGACGTCGATACCGCCGGTGGATACCACTCTCTGCAGCCTGTGACCTACCAGCGTCCATGGGTACACCACCACTCCTCGGGAGACCAAGCCTCCAGCCATCGAATGGCTGGTTTAGTTCGAATATACTGGACCAGCTATCCAGTAGCGGTTCTAGAGATGAATAAATATAGATTTGATTCTCCTATCTAGGAAAAGGGCAATTCATCTTTCGGTATATCGCTGCTGATACATGTATAGCTTACAAAACAAACTATTCAATATTCTATGCGTTACAGTTCCTAGTTAAAGAAAAACTGTAATAGTTTTAATATTTATCGCCATATAGATCTAGGAAAGTTTAATAACGTGACAATATAATTATACTGTATTCTTAAACATATAACTCGTAGATGATTAAGACAAATTGAAATCGTGTAGACATTAGCAATAATTCATCTAAATATTAGTTGTTCAATGTAGAGATTTGCAATCTACATCTGTGCAAGGTAGTATAATAATAATAATATTATTAAACATGACAATATGTCTTGGCATTAACTTATAGATTGTAGAATTGCTTGCATTTTATCTATTTCTTGCAAGTAGATATCATATTACTAATCTCTTATATGTAAATAAGTAACTATTGTAAAAGATAAAACATTTGACTCTCTTATATTTACCGTAACATTTAAGTACAAGTTTGAAACATATATAAACTTACTGCAAGTAGATAATAATGTAATACAACGAAAAATATATAACGGGAACATAGCTGTAATTAGATTAAGCCACGTACATATACGAGTGTTGTAAATAATAAATAAATATATTGCTGGACAGACTATAAAATATATCTACGAAATGAATATTATTGTTTATTCTTTACCAAATATAAAATAAATGGGTAGGATCACAATATTTAATTTATATACGTATTGTGCTAAGCAAACCTCATTTAAATAAGTATATTGTATATTTTAAATTGTAAACTTTTCTGTATTCCAGGGCAATGAATACAGAATTGTTGCGATAATATTTAATCATAATATCTGTAAATCAATATCATATAACGATGTGAGGCTATGAGTTTCATGGGAACATATAGCGACTATTACATAGTGGATTTTAAATATTGTCAACGTTTAGTCGTGTGCATATGCCAAGCTTTTAATATTTTGATAAAGTTTATCATAATAATATAAATCAATAGATAACAAGTAATAAATGTTCCTTTTCAATATAATTTATTTTGTTCTTCCTTTCTTAAATGCATGTTACATCTTATGTTCGTAGTCATGTATTATTACTTAATTTAATTTACTTACATATTTGAAAATAGATACCTGTACTCGAGTATGATATTAATGAATACCTATACAATATAATATTTAGATATTAAGATAATAATTGTTATAAATATGATTAGTCTACATTTTTTCTTACCTTCGTATGGAAGTAAATAATTAGAAAATGTTATTGAAAATGTCATCTGTGTTAGTGTATCCTAGACTTAAGTCGTATTTCTTCAGACCTACTAGTTAACCAAACTTAACGTTGTTCGTTTAGCAAAAAAACATGAATACTCATATAAATTATTGAATCGAATACAATTGTTTAAATCTTAAACCTCAAGTTTAGCATACTTAACGAAATTTCTTTGAAAATATGTATTAGACTAACCTACATTTTAACCATATTTACCTACATAAAGCTTTGACTGTTTGTAACGTTACAAGTTAGTGTTATATAGCGCAAGTAGTTACAATTAAGTGTTTTTATAAGAAAAATCTTTAAAAATCGTAGTTCATATACCCACAACATTGTTGTAACTTTTTTGAAATGATATTTTTTATATTATTTTTGTACTTTTTAAGTACAAATTGTTTGTTTGAATGTAGTTAATCGTGGATTTAAATGTTGTTTGTCGGTGTTAGCGAATGTAACCAACGTCGGTGTTTAGTTTAGAATAAACGACAAGTGGTTAGGTCTGGTCTGTATCAGCCATTGCAGGTCTATCTAGCCATTTGTTTTAAAATACTTGTTTCATTTCACTTTCCCTTAACTAAGTTCTTAAACAAGTATATTGAAAAAATTGAAACTCTGCTTTTTATAAAATTGAGGGTAAATAAAGAGCCATCCCTAAAAGAAGCAGATGATACTTATACCCACCTATATCTTTTCATTTGATATAAATAAGTAACTCCAAGTAACTTAGAACGAATGGAGAGGAAGGAATTATGTTGAGGAGTTAAAAACATGAAATCACCAAAGTGTTATTTTGCTACCTCATTTTAACCGGACTCAAAATAAAAACCACATTATCTATGGCTGACGAAATTATTTGTCAAACATCTGCCAAAAACCCCGATTTATAAATAACCAAAAAATAGATTTCCTTTAAATTGAAAGTGAAAATAAATAAATGAGATCGTCGCTTGAAAATGTCCTGGTCGGCCGGCGGTGTTAGAATGCCCCTGCCCGTGTATGCATGGCGGACAAGACAGTAAGCTTCAATGCACATTGCGTGAGTATTTTACAAGTTTACAATCAAAGCCTACGTGGACGAGGAACCATCCATCTTTGTTCATCATTATATATATCTCTTAAAGCTGTATCGAATTGTGCACAGGACTAAAAGTACCGGTCCCAAAGTTGGGGCCGTTGCTTGGTTCAAAAAGTAGAGTTCTCTGTGGATGCCTTCAGTAGTACGCGTTTGCCTTCTATATTGCTGATATTTAAGCTATGCATTTGTATATCTGCGTTCCCACGTAAGATAAATATAAATAAAGGTCTAATTAGGTTACTGCTTGACTCATTTAAAACAACTCGCATCATTTATTCCAATCCACACGCACTCTTATTTTCATTCCACTCTACATCAGAGGCTGCTGGGCGTTACATAACGTTTACCTATGTAAGGTTTATCCTGACAAGCGTTTATTTCCATTCCATACCCTACCTTGTATGTACTTAATGCGTAAAAATAAGAGTAAGTTCGCAATAAAGACTGCATACAGAGAGAGTTGAACTGATTGATTTAGTTGGCCACGCCTCATCAAACTTCACTATTGTTTATTTTTTTATCCTTTTCAAATGTGCATACTAAATTCATGTCAAAGTCGATCCTACAGAATCTGTGCGACTCCCACTTGGAGGCCATCGCAAAATGGCTGAGCTGCAACGGAGAGGTGTGGGGAGTGGGGCCCACGGCGGTGTTCGCGAGTGCTGCGGCCCTGTTTCTGTACAACGAGCTGGAAGCCACGGTCTTCATAGCTGGAGACCACGCGCATGTCTCGCTGCTGGAGAAGACGCTTATTGTGAGTTCGTTCGTTCGTTTCAGCCAAATGACGTCCACTGCTGGACAAAATCCTCCTCCAAGGTTTTCCACAATGAAAGGTCCTGCGCTGCCCGCATCCAGGCTCTTCGCGCGACCTTCACCAGATCGTCGGTCCACTTAGTAGGAGGCCTGCCCACGCTACGTCTTCCAGCCCGTGGTCGCCGCCACTCGAGAACTTTCCTGCCCCAACGGCCATCGTCTCTACGAGCTATGTACCCCGCCCACTGCCACTTGATTTTAGCAATTCTGCGAGCTATGTCGGTTACTTTGGTTCTCCTGCGTTTGGTTATTGTGAGTAGAGTATTGTTAAACCTGAGTGACTGATACTAATTTTAAGTAGACTCTTGGTAGATCTGACTAAGCTAGTGTAAAAATGGCTGAGCTGCAACGGGGAGGTCTGGGGGTGGGGCCCACGGCAGTGTTCGCGAGTGCTGCGGCCCTGTTTCTGTACAACGAACTAGAAGCCACGGTCTTCATCGCTGGAGACCAAGCCCATGTCTCGCTGCTGGAGAAGACGCTTATTGTGAGTAGAGTCTAGGTTCTGAGTCTGACTGACACTAATTTTAAGTAGACTCTTGGTAGACCTGACCAAGCTAGTGTAAAAATGGCTGAGCTGCAACGGGGAGGTTTGGGGGGTGGGGCCCACGGCGGTGTTCGCGAGTGTTGCGGCCCTGTTTTTGTACAACGAGCTGGAAGCCACGGTCTTCATCGCTGGAGACCACGCGCATGTCTCGCTGCTGGAGAAGACGCTTATTGTATCTAGACCTATAGATGTAGAGATGCAGATTTGAGTCTAACTGACACGAATAAGTAAAGACTCTTGGTAGATCTGAATGAGCTAGTGTTGTGATCTAGTTTTCAGACAACGGTCTTCGTTAGTGTTGTTAAAGCACTATTTGATATCATATTTGACTCATTATACAGGCGTTTGAGTTGGCTTATCTACTATATAAAAATAAGTCGGGTTTTCCTTCCTGACGCTATAACTCCAGAACGCACGAACCGATTTTCACGGTTTTGCATTCGTTGGAAAGGTCTCGGGCTCCGTGAGGTTTATAGCAAAGAAAATTCAGGAAAATTTAACAAACGAAATTCCACGCGGGCGTGGCCGCGGGTGGAAAGCTAGTAGGATATAAATATATTGTGAATGTTGAATCTTCTTGACATGAGTTTTATTTGCTTTTCAGTCGACTATGGTACTTGGCATGCTGGCGCTGATGATCCACTTGTGGGTGTGCTCCATGAGATTTTTCCAATATTACTTGGACACGCTTATTAGAGACGTAAGTAAAGGTTACGCTCCTCCCTTAGTCTTAAAGCCTTACTTTTTCTCATATACTTGTCAAAGTGTAAGAAAAAGAATCCAATCAGATCAGACACTTGTATGGTACCTATTCTAGCCTATTCCTTCAAATAATCTCGTAATAATCTCATAATAATGTCAAATAGATATGATAGGTACATTGTGTAACTGACACTGCCCAGAATGAACAAACTACTTATAGAAGGTATCGTTACATACTCGTATCGTACATAATTATGATCCAAACCACCATGGAGTACCTAACGCTGACATGAAAGTGGGAAGGAAGCCTATTTTCCAGCAATTAATATCTACCGTATTGTCAATTGTTTCTTCTAGAGTCCAAACATGCTGCTGGAGATGACGACAGCCGGTCTGCTGGGAGGCCAGACCGAGATCGTGCCTCTGGGCCCTCTCACCCGCTTCCTCCGGCAGCAGCAGCCGCAGATCCACATCACGGTGTGCTGGTTCCTCTCGCTGTGCTACGCCGACTACGTCAGGAAGCACTACTGCCAGCGGTTCAACATGCCTTACTTGGAGCAGTGGTTGGTAATAACAACTGTTGGATAAATTAAATAGGAGTAGAGTTTGGCACAAGTACAAGCACTGGTACTAAACCAGTCGATTTTACTTTACATTTGGTAAGTAGGTACATATACATCTCCCTTCCACTACTCTAATCGTGTAAGTAATCAGAACACATAATTCGAAACCACAATCGTTTACTTGGTTCCGTGCGGCCATTAAGTAATTATTGAAAAGTATCATTTTCGATCTTGGGACGTGTATAAATAAGCGCCCTGGAAATGGCTTAAACTACTGAATAAAAACTTTGACTTTGACATTGTGATCACCTCTCTTTTACTATATTTGTCTTCCAATCCTGCATATTTTTTAATTTAACTTTTGAGGACAGTAAGCCCCACTACGTCTGGGTCCATGATATGTTTGCCCAGATGTGCACTTCGTACATGTCGTCTACATATAGAACCCCCTATAACGTATTTCATATTACACGTGGAGACGTCGCTTCTATTGAACGACTTGTCGTGCAGGGGAAGGTTGAGGGCACAAGAGCGCGCGGCAGGTCACCCATGCGCTGGACTGATCAGGTCAAAACCGCACTCAATGATTCACTCCACCAAGAAAGGCTGCATGAAAGTGCGGGAGAAATGGCGACAGATTGTGTGAGGTGTGACGACCACGACCGCTCTAGAAAGATTGAGTGTAGTGACGAAGAAAAAATAACGTATTTCACTGTTGTGGGACAGGCAAACCGAACTGCACGAGCGCGCGGCGCGCGGCGTGCACCGCACAATGGAGAAGGTGAACAGTTTCGTAGGCTCCGTCCATCAACGGCTGCGTGGATTCGCGCCACCCGCGCCGCCGACGACTGAGGCGCACACGTAAACATCGATTTACTATTTATCTAAGAGATTTATGTAGAACTTTTGCTGATAATATGCTCTTTGCCTTAATGCAAAGATTACCCTCAATCAACCGCTTACGGTCTGAAAAATACATCCAACTGGCCCAACTGTTTAACAAAAGTTCACATTTCATAGTTATTTCATGCGTTGATTAGTATAATAAAATTGATTGATATTCAAAGGAAATCCTTATCAGTTTAATGTGATTTCCTCTTTTTGCTTTGCTCTGCCCATTATTATTTCGAATCATGCCTCTTATAGACAGATGTAGTCTTCAATTAAAAGTACTTATTAGGCAGAATATTATAGAAAATAAGAAGGATCTTGTCTAGTCGTAACATGCATTAATCCGGGTGAACAGGATGCCTTTAAGCGTGTTGTTTTAACAACTTTTGGTGGCAGCCGCCTGAACAGCCTGCTACCAAGCCGCAACCAGCTTGCCGGCATGCCGGAGCTTGAAGCCTTGATCACACGTACCGAGCAAACGGGCGAGACAGTGCTCTCGGCCGAGTACTCGGTGTGTATGAACATTATGCCGAGTGCTCGGCCGAGCGCTCGAGTATGTGACTCGCTCACCCAACTGTCTCGACCGAGTAAACATTTTACTGTCTCGCCCGTTTACTCGGTACGTGTGATCAAGGTTAATGTATCGAGCTGTGTGACCGTAGCTTTAGGCCGTGATGTCCGTCATAGAGTGAGAGCTCGGCGCCCAAGAGAGCGGCGGCGGCGGTCGGGCGCGCCCCGAGCCACATCTCTTGGAGGACCAGCGACCCGGCCCTCGCCAAGGACCGAGAGTTCAGCGTGCGACTCGTCAGTCAGTCGAGCGAAACAACTGCTGACGCAATTGAGAAACTCCGAGCCTATATCACAGTATGTCATGTACGAGTATGTGTGGAGTCCATGCGCGTTGATTAGCAGTCTAGACCAATGGTGGAAACTTTTGAATTTTTCTGTAGACTTGCGCAAACTTACGCGTCTGGACTCCAACTTAAAGTAAACGATATTGTAGCACAGTTTAGTAGAGTAGATTATAAGTTGCAGTTGAGATTTAAAACAACAACACAACAGCGGACATACCTGATAGACTTACATACGACAACGAATATGCGGATAATCCCAGTGATGTCTGTCGTTTGTTCTCAGATTTCTTTCAGTCAGTCTTTGAACCATCTTTAGTTCCAGATGACTATGACATTGACGCTCTTCCGGACACAAATCACGACTCAGACTTACTACTAAGCAACATTACTCTCACAAGTGAGGATGTATTAAGAGAACTTAGCAACATTGATGCCACAAAGGGCTCTGGTGTTGATAACATACCGCCCATTTTCTTGAAACTGACAGCCAAAGCAATATGCTATCCTGTTCAATGTATCTTTAACAAATGCCTTAAAGAAGGTGTTTTTCCGATTATCTGGAAGGCTGCTCGTATCGTACCAGTATTCAAAGGAGAAGATAAAAGCAATGTAGAGAATTATCGTCCCATATCTATCCTGTGCGCTCTGTCGAAAGTCTTTGAGAGACTAGTTCACAATAGCATCTACCCTTCCCTACATAACATTATTATTGAACAGCAACACGGTTTTGTAAAACGTAGATCAACTAGTACAAATCTTTTAATCTATGCTTCGTATATTTTTGAGAGCATAGACGCCAATAAAAGAACGGATAGTATCTACACTGACTTCCGGAAGGCTTTCGACAGAGTCGACCACAAAATATTATTGGACAAACTCGCATACAACGGCATTCGTGGGGATCTCTGGCGATGGTTTAAATCTTATATAACTAATCGCACCCAGAAAGTAGTTGTGCGTGGGCATGAATCAGAGTTTGTTCCAATTACTTCAGGAGTGCCGCAAGGCTCTATTCTTGGACCTCTGTTGTTCATTCTATTCATTAATGATGTTCATCACTGTTTTAGATTTTGCAGTTTCCTCTTGTATGCCGATGACCTAAAAATTTATAGCACTGTGGAGAGCGATGATGATCATTTGAGATTTCAAGCTGATCTAGACCGCTTCTCTAACTATTGCGTCATAAATAAATTAAAATTAAGTCTCAATAAATGTAAAGCTATAACATTCACCAAAAAAAGAATAACATATAACTATAAATACAGCTTATCTGGTTTGCAACTTGAATCTGTTGAATCTATAAAAGACCTAGGAATCATCCTAGATTCTAAATTAACTCTTGATACTCACATTTATAATATAATTAATAACGCCTTCAGAATGTATGGTTTTGTAATGCGTAGAACTGAACATTTTCTAAAACCATCTACATATATATTTTTGTATAAAACACTAATTCGATCACAACTTGAGTATGCTGTGTCTATCTGGAATCCCTTCTATAATAAATATGTTTTGGCCCTCGAAAGAATCCAAAAAAAGTTCCTTCGTTCTTTACACTACCGATTCTCTCGTAGATACTTGTCATACCAACAGCTTCTTGAAAAATATCATCTTCTCAGTCTAAGGCACAGACGCATGCAACTTGAGGCTACATTGTTATATGACTTGTGTCACAACAGATACGATTGCGCCCCACTAATTGGTAAACTATGTTATAAGGTACCCACAAGAGCACACTGCCGTGCGCCTTGTCGATTGTTTGAGACTTCTCGTACACGAACAAATGCTGGAAAACGATCACCCCTGTTTCGTCTTGTACAAAATTATAACGAGAGCTTTCACTCAGTCGATATTATTGCGGCTCAACCAGGTGCATTCAGAAAAATGATATTGCTCACATTGCAGGACAGTGCTATTTGAACCAACACAAATTTATAAGTACACTACCTCTCAACGAAATGTGTAATGATTTTGTTTAATAAATCTGTGGTAAACGGTGTTGGTGACAAATGGACACTTACTATTGTAATGTATACTTATTTGTTTAATTTCTCGTTTGTCACTGTTTGTTTACCCCAATAAAATAAAATAAAAAAAAAAATAAAAAACTCATCACTGCATAACACTGCAGCACGTTTGATGAGACTGTAGTAGAAGTAATATTTATTGAGGGAAAACTGAAATTAGGTCTTTTTCTGAAAAAATATTATTCCTGTATCTGAGCAAGCGTCCCCGACTTTTTTAAAAATGTTTTTCAAATTGCACCGTATTCTGCTTATCAAGTTTCTCGAGACACTTCTAAGATAGACACAAGAATGTTTCAAATCTTTTCTGATGTAGTCACATTATCAAAGATACATACTATAAAATCCCATGATCCTAGCCCGCTGCTGATGTAGCTTTGATCTAAGCTGGTGTCTTGCAGGCAACAAGATGCACGTGTTGCGGTCCACAGGACTCCTGCCTCGGTGGTGCTGGCCTCGCCGCGCCGGCAGCGCAGCCTCGAGGACTTCCCCTGGCGGAAGATGGCCGAGCTACCCTTTGACTGACCTGTTACACAATGTAATAAACCGTTTGTCGTTTTATTGGTGTCTTATTTTCAATTGGTGGTGTGTAGGACCCCCGTGAGAAAATGTTACATTTAATTGAGTTCATCAAAACTTCTTACTTGTAGCTTGTAGTCTTTTACGTAAGTGCTCTATGCATCATTTTATACAATCTTTAGAACACTTAGGATGCCCTAAGATGGACAACAATAGCCTAATAGTGTCAATGTCGAACTGGCCGAATCGAATCCGAGGAACACAGATTTGAACCCCGCCACCGCTGGACCATTGTGATGCATCCACTTGAAACACAAGCATAAAAAAAACTCATATTCTCCTATGTGCAAAGTTTTTTAAGTCAATTTGTAATTTCCTTTGTTTCCGTTATAAACAGCATATCAAAGCACTCAGGCCCGTAGTCCTGGCCCAGCTTGTTCTAAGCTGGTGTCTTGCAGGCAACAAGATGCACGTGTTGCGGTCCACAGGACTCCTGCCTTGGTGGTGCTGGCCTCGCCGCGCAGGCAGTGCAGCCTCGAGGACTTCCCCTGGCGGAAGATGGCCGAGCTACCCTTTGACTGACCTCCTGTTACAAATGTAATAAACCGTTTGTCGTTTTTACTGGTGTTTTATTTTTATTTGATACGAGACTACAGATCTATAGAGGACGGTTTTCATAAAAAATGTAAGTACCTACTTATATGTAGTTGTACGTTCATGATAACGTCTACGCGTCTTTACACTCGAAACTTTGCGTTCTATCTGTGGTTCTATGATCTCTCTCTGATGAGAAAAATGGTGAACTATTTTATACAATCCTTAACACTTTAGGCTGTCCTAATAGGGATGCATATTATGTAAACCCTGTTTCATGGAATAAGATTTTTTCGTTCATAATATTGCTCATGGTAGAGCTACTAAGTATTCTATATGCAAGACGGGGTCTTAGCAACGACAAAAAGCCTACTTAAGCTTTATGTAGGCGTTATGACGAGCTAGTGATTAACGACTCGGCAGAGCTCTCCGATAATTCATTTTACTGTTTGGGGATACTTATTGTTATTGAACCGTTAATTATTTAGAGATACCCATTGTTATTGAACCGTATTTTGGTTTTTGAGCTATACAACCTTTCAATATCGATTGACTTAAAACCCATAACTTAAAGCTATAAAAAATAACAGTTTGACTGCTACGCCATGACTGACTCTATCAAAACATGTCAGCACATGTCAGTGAAATGCTGGTGACATTACAGCAAATTACAGGAGCACCATGATTTTGTAAATAATAATCTAGCCTAATGTGAAATTTCGTAATGAATCGTTGAGAGTTAAAATTTGTAATGTGGCAAAACTTATGGGCATTCGTACAGTCGGAAAGTCATAAAGTAAGTTAAAATATCTCTCTTTACCCTAGGCACCACTATTAGGCACTATCAGCAGTGTTATCGAAAATGCATCTTTCCCATGGACTCTATCAGAAGTGCAATGGCAACAATTGCATCTCTTGTGGCATTAATTTTGCCAATACTTGTTACAGGAAAATGAATTTCAGTCGCCTGTGATACAGTATCAATTCTACAATACCCAATTTTTTTTGTTGAAATACTTTACTTTACATTCATAGCAAATATTCAACACTACCTTTAATCAGCGTCTTCACCGGGTATATTTTAAAGCCTTATGTTACTCAAGAACAATGTAGGTAGCTTCCTGTACTGGTAAAGTATTTTCGAAGTCAATACTAGAGTTCCAGAGTTTTTCTAACAAACCTATTAACTTTATAACATTAGGGGAACCTGTTGAACCTTGGACAGAGTTGTACCTAAAACAATTGTATATATTTTTTAAATTATGCGGTTTTATGTAAAGTTGTCTAGGGTATTACATACGTTATTTGTCAACATTAACGTGAAGTTAGCTAAGATTCGCCGACGCCGTGCAAGTTCAAGAAAAAATGGTAATTTAATATTTTACACTGACGCAGTGAGATTTTGGAGGTTTACTTCATGTCAATTTATGAAAAATTTTGCATGTTTGACAAAACGGTTATAGTTAGAACATAATCTTTATAAATCTAGCTACTGGACAATATGAGTTTCAGATCCTAAGCTCAAATGGAAGTGGGTTTATTTTGCTTATTAAGTGAAGTAGTCGTAATGTTGTACCTTGACCACCCAACTAGCGATGTACCTTGGTCACTGATTTTCATTGCGTTTTAATGAGAATTTTATTGTAATAAAAAAATATTATGCTGTTATAGAAACAATGCCCCGAAGACCTCAAAATAGCAATTTAAAGTCTGTTTTTGATTTATATTTTTTTAATTTCTAATGTTTTTTAAATTTACGTTTAATGTATCTTCATATGACTTTTTTAAGATTATTTTTGTTGATAAAGCGGTTTTAATGGATATTTTGCTAGAATTTATGTTAAATGATAAGAAATAAAAAAAACTAGATTGAAAGTTAAAGCCACTCCAGCGCGTATTTTGTCCTACACGACATAACATATCAACATTCAACAAAATTTTCTAGAAAAAATGTTGAATATTGTCATATTTTTGTTGATTGTGTAAGGCTAAGCATGGACTGGAGAGCCGGCTTAAACTTAAGTGATTTGTTGCCAAAAAACTGTGAAAAATAATTAGTACAAAAAATATGGATGAGGATCTTTTTTAAAAAATACTTTTACTTAGATATTGTTGCTAATAACTGTAATAATTGGTATTTCAAATAATAATTTAACAGAAAATTGACAAATTGAAGCGAATATAAGCATTTATTTAAATTTAAATAGGTACAACGTACACGGTCCAAGGTACATCTGGTTTGTTGTACCTAGGACAGTTTTCCCTTTTTTTTTCTAGCAGCTAGTATGCCCAAATTTTTAAAATTATACACAATTTTATAAATGAATTATGTAGTTAATTAAATGATCTTTAAATATAACTGCACTAGACAAGTTTAACTATCACCATTATTTTTCAAAAAATCAAAATTCGAAAAACTGGCCTAAGTACAACAGGTTCCCCTACTAGCAGCCGTCCGCGAGTTCGTACGCGTGGACCACGTTTTACGGTTTACCCCCTTAGGGGTGAAGTTTCGAGTTGTTTTTAGGGTTTTCACGGAAATTATTCGAACTTTTCTCGCCGTAAAAACCATCCTTGGACTTCAAAGAACATTAAAAAAAGAATTGGTAAAATTTGTCCAGGAGTTGTTGAGTTATGCGCTTACCAACACATTTTGTGATTCATTTTTATATTTCTTTCAGACAGTAGAATGGGCGAAGTGCGGCGAGGGCGGCATCTCGACGGTGCCCACGCTGCTTTGGGCGACGGGAGCAGCGGCGCTGGCGCACCGTCTCGTGGCCGCGCTATTCAGGAGGTTTCTGTTCCGACGGGTGCCGCTGTGGGAGCTGGTATTGCAGGTACTAACACTGCACAGTGGGTAACACGTTCCTTCGTTCGTTTCAGCCAAATGACATCTACTGCTGGATAAAGGCCCATAAGGGACTTCCACAACGACCGCCCGCATCCAGGCACCTCCCGCGACCTTCACTAGATCGTCGTTCCACCTAGTGTGGAGTCTGCCCACACTACATCTTCCGACCCGAGGTCGCCACTCGAGATCTTTTCTGCCGCAGCAGCCATCAGCTCTGCGAGCTATGTGCCCCGTCCACTGCCACTTGATTTTAGCAATTCTGCCGGCTATGTCGGTCACTTTGGTACTCCGAAACTCTGAGGATAGCACGCTTCATCGCCTTTTGGGTGATCTTCCCTTCTTATGGGTCCCATAGTAAGCATGCACTTTTAATGTCAAGTTGCAAGATCATTCTTACCTATTAAAGACTGAGCTGCTATGTTTACAGAACCTGCTGTTCATGTGGATGGTGATCTACAGCTTGCACTTCTGGGTGGTGCTGGTGAGGATAATCAAAATTGTCGTGGAGTACTGCTACGATGAAGTGAGTTTATGAATGGTTGATTAAACTAGTTAACTGGTCCCAATCGGTCCCAAAGCTTTCCTCCTTACTGCTGAATGTATTATATCGCCAAACAGGTCTTCTGGTAGGTGTAGCATACAGTTCTAAAACGTTCTCAGATCTTTTATAGTAAGAGATTTTGCTACTCGGGTAAGGTAATCCAATCTAATGTACCATAAAAATAACAAAACTACCTTCAAAAGGTACTACTGCCCATACAGGAGAACCGGTTACCCTCAGAAGAGGAGGTGGAAGGCAGGAAGCTGATGCAGCAATGGATCGTGTGGATGTTCTCGCTGACGCCGCTGGTGGTCTACTTCGAGACCCGGCCGCGGCCGGAGGCGCCCCCGCTCATGATATGGTTAATTGAGAACATGTAATTATGATGGCCAATTGTAACTTGATAAGTCGGTGAATAAAATATTCTGAGGTCACAATTTTATACGATAAAACACCGATTTGTCAAGTTACTAGACATAAAAGCACTACAATCTCCTAAAATCTTAAAACAGAATTACATCATCAATAATCACCATCATTCACACATAAATAGCTTCGTGCTCTTCTATAGCAAGAAACAATCATCACAAGCTCAACTCAAAATAGCTACTTAAGTGTTAACAAATGTCTCAGAAACTCAGAACCATCCTCTCATCGTCATCATTTTAGCCACAGAACGTCCACTACTGAACTATAGGCTTCCCAAAATGATTTACAGATTAACCGATTGGTAGTGACCTGCATCCAGATTCCAGCACCTTCCAGAACCATCCTCTGCTATTATTTTAGTTGATCGCATCCATTCCACATAGTTCATTCATCACAATAAAAACATCTAACAATCACAAACCACCTCTGTTAAACTAAGATTCTTCCATCACAGGATAACGACAAGTCCCTGGCAGCGGCGCGAGATGGGTCCCTACGGGTACTACCTGAACAGACCTCCGACTACCCTCCAGTCCACAACTACCCTCGCCGGCCGGCAGCACGCCATGACCCTTCGGAGGTCCTTCAGCGACTCCAAAGTGATCGTCAAAGAACCGCCCAAGAAGAAACGTTACTCCAAATCCGTGTAAAAACTTTTTTAATAAAAAATATAAATGCTCAAAGCTTGATGTTTGATTTGATCATAAAAATAACGAGCAGGCGTAAAACGAGTCGTTTAAAAAGCCCTTCATATAAATAAATAAATAAACTGTAATGACTCCCAAACTGATGTTTGGCTCGTCCAATCTCTCATGAACGAGGATATAAAATCTGAGCCCCGATTACGGTAACTTTTATAACGTCTACAATCCAGACGCGTTTCTGATTCTGCGATACGATTGGTCAAAACAGCTGACGTACGCTGTTGAACGACCAATCGTATCGCAGAATCGAGAAGCGTGTCTGGATTGTTGACGTTAAAAATTACCGTAATCGGGGCTCTGTTGTATGTAGGGCTAGATTTAAAAAATCAGTTATGATACGTTATAGTCTTTTTCACCTAAGATGATCCGTATGACGTTTCGAGTTTGAAAGATTTAGAGATGTCACATAACTAAACCATAGCGATTTATCTATCGATTTTTTTCGAAGAGTTAGTACCTAAAACCTATAGTATAAGATCCCGCTATACAACGACCTTCACCGAGATGCTTATTTGATGAAACATATTTTATATTCAATTTAACATGTCAATAATTATATTGCTTAAGGGTTGCCTAATAAATTTCAGTCCAGGATATGATTAATTAATCATTAAAAATAGATATTTTTTCAAATATTTCATCGGTTTGACTATTAAACAAACTCCGTACCAATCGAAAGTATGAAGCCCATAGAATATGCAAACGTTAGGTTGCCTATTCTTTTCCAGTCATAACTCTCGGGTTGCCAGGTATAAACAGGTAAATTGATAGAGCATTTTGCACCGGTCTGATAATTTAATCAAATTTAAATGAAAATAAAGATTATTTCATTATGAACACGGTGGTATAGGGTTGCCTGCGATAAATCAGTCCTGAATGACGGTTGTCGAATTTTGTAAAGTGAAATTAAAACTGAAAGATGACATTTTTCGAGTAGTTGGCAACNTACACTGTTAATAATGATACGAAAACTATTATATCAATCAATTTATAGCTTTGTTGTAATTTCTCTTTGTCGCTTTGCATTTTGAGCTTTATGTTCACGAATTATTGGTCGCGAAATTTTATCAGGATATATAGGTATGTTCTTTAATCATTCAGACTTGAAAATATTACATTATAAGTAACTTGAAAACATCAGAATAGTGCTAGTATATTTAGTGAAGCATTTAGTGAGGCAACATGGGATACAATTAAAAAACGGGTTCTATTCCCACCTCTCGTTCTTACCGCTGCAACTCCTGTGTAGCCAGGATCTACAGCTTGACCGCCAATAAAACCCAACCAGTGAAGATCAAGTTGGTCCCGGGGGAAAGTTAACTGTCATTGAACCTGCAACGAAATTATTCAGAAAAAATCATAATGGGATGTAATAAGTGATGCAACTTTTTAGAATTAAAATCTAAGCGAACGAAGTCACATGCAGTAAGTTACTTAAAAAAAAAAAGTCACAGGCATCCACTATAGGTATTTGAATATCCAATATGGTGCTTTAATATCAGGCTTCGCTAAGTTTTAATACATACAGAAACTTATGAAAAAGGGTTTGTAAGGTACTAGTAAGATTACATTACCATCTCAATACTCCACTGGGTTCTTTTTATTGGCTTTCATTTGATCCGTAAACAAGGGTTTGTATTTCAAAATTATATTTTATCTAAAACAAAATCCTTTTCTTGTTAAAATAAAACAAGTTATGACTTAAGAGTCTTGAAAACATTTATAGTGGTACGTTATAAAAATATAAGTTTATTTTAACCTTTAGGAGACTCACTTAAGGAATTTATGACAGCTTTACACGCATTTGGTTTTAGTTCTTTTCGATCCCTGCCCGATTACTACGAATAAATTGAGTGCAGGCTTAGATCATGTATTAGTACATATAGTTCTTGCAACCCACGAAGGCGAGTGAGCTTTACTTGTTGTGTGCGTGTACATACGCATAACGATAATGTAATGTCTATCAAATCTTTTGAAAAACAAGCAGTAGCGAGCCGCCGCACATGTAAAGCTCACTTGCCTTCGTGAATTGCAACAACTATACTTGTATATGTCAATGTGAAATTGTGAACTCTGTCAGTTTATAATATAACGCGTTAGATTGTAAACTAACAGTGGGTTAGGTTAGGTTAGATTGTAATTTAACTACGTCAGAATTCACAATTTTACGGTGACATATAGATATCAGACTAAACAATTTTTGACCCAAACACATACAACAACGAATATAAATAAAGCAAAACAAAATGGTATTTTAAAGTAAGTGAGACATAGACAACATTCTGTGACTCAAACAGCTTTTCAGACCAGAAAAGATGACTCTATGATGTATTTAAATAAAAATAGTTTAAAAGCAGACGCAGTTTTATTGCAGAGATTACCACAGACAATAAGATGGCGACATAGAGCGATTTGTCTATTAACTAGAGACGTAATTACATACTATAGTCTTTTTCACCTAAGATGATCCGTATGACGTTTCGAGTTTGAAAGATTTAGAGATGTCACATAACTAAACCATAGCGATTTATCAATCGATTTTTTTCGCAGAGTTAGTAAAACCTACTTTTAGAGAAATATTTTGTATAGGTGTTATTTAACAAAAAACATGTTTTTTTTAATAACAAATATTATTGTAACAATTTTTTATTGATAATATTCAAATTTCATGGTTCGTGTTCAAAAAAACGATTCCTTAAAAGTACTGGTTCTGTTTCTTTAAATTAAAAACCATTAATTTATTTTTAATGCGTTTATTAAAGTCAATAATCGAAAAATATAGTTGATTTTTGTGATGTTTTTAATAACTAAGAATTCACTGCAATCGATTAATGAACCGCGGAAATAATCGATTTTATTATACAAGAAATACCCCAGCACTAAATCTAACCGTTTCACACATCGCGTACATTAAATAAAAAATATTTTTACATCGTATTTAATTAAAATATAATCAATAGACTCAGATTTTACTATATGTTTCAAGACAAGGTAGTTTTCTTTTTTTATCATATTGCTAATAAAATACAAATATTTTTTCGAAAATATTCTGCATATGTAGTATGCGTAATATGGATAACCTTGAAGTGTCATACGGATCATCTTACGTGAAAAAGACTATAGTGTAGGATCTGCTGAATCGGTAAATAGGGTTCAATATTAATCAATACAACACTAGCTTTGTTAAACTCTACTAGAATGTTAATGGTACGTATAGATAACCGACTTGCAGAACTTTAGCCGATCTAGCCAATCTTGCACCAGTTGCCCGATCTATTCCTACGATAATACCGGCAAAACACAAGCAGCAACAAAGTGTTACTGTTCCGTAACAAAGTGTTCCCTAGACCCCAGTGGTGGAGCTAGCTGCATCCTGCATGCAGAGTTCAAATTGCACTAATAATTTTATATCTCCAGGGAAATATGCGTACAATCCGCTGCGTTTTGGCAATGAGATGGGTGGATGTTAGTGACAGGTGAGGAGCGATGGTAATGAAGCGTGGAAATGATAATTCGGAGTGACTTATTGATTTTTCGTTAATCATAAAATTATAAATAACAAGAAATTACTAACGCACAGTAAGCATTAAATTCCATTTAGTGAATTCAATATAAAAACCCAAACTCTTTAAAGAAAATAATTGCTTGATCCGTTGATTCATAGTCGTGCTTTTATTGCTGAAAAATTGCCCATGTAAGAATATTTTGAGGTGATTTTGTAATACTGTTTTGTTCTACAATTTCTTTGGTTGAAACGAACGAACAAATTATTTGCAAAAACAAAAAACAATTATATTAACAAGAATAAGAAAATAAGGTTATGGCACCATTATTTTTAAGTGATATATTAATTACTTTGGAATTCATTTAAAGTGGTATTAACAACTCTACTACGTTCAAACACCCTGCTTATTCATGTAAAAAAAATACAAAAATACCTACGGAAAAGCCAAGATATAAAGTGAGTTCGGTAAACATTAAACATCTTTATTATTTCCCATTCTGATTATAGTGCTATCATTTCTCTTATTGATACAAAGCGCAATAATGTGCTATCGGAAAAGTATAAAAAGGCGTGTAAAGCAATTCCATCTACGTTATAAATCGGTGAACAGCGAAGTATACAGGGTGTCAATAAAACAACGAAGAACTGGAAAACAAATGAATACTTTCGGCTATTGTTATTTAATTTGTTTGGTAGTTTAGTTTAAAAGTTTAAAATCTGACGTTCAATAAAATTTATGAATAGAGGTTGTTGCGTGATGGAATGTAGTCTTCCTCAATAAATGGGCTACCAAACACAAATGTGTTTTTTCGAATTGGACCAGCATGCTGCAGCAGTACGTCCTGATTAGTGCGTTTAACCAAACAAACTTTTCAGCTTTCTATATACTAATATTAGATGACTTAAAGATCTAGAAAGATGGACAAAAAAACTTCAGATCTATAGGCGTGCTACTTAACAATGAAACATTCTATAAAGAAATATTCTTATAGTTCATTATTGTGGATATAATGGCGTCCTTTATATTCCGTCCCAAGATACCGTCGATTTTATAGTCACCCTGTATAATAAACTCCTTGATAATGATAAAGGGGCACAGTTTTTCGCCGTTTATGCGTTGAAAGTTTAATTTAGCACCCGCTGTTATATTCATGGCCGTGTGAATAATTTAGTAATACCTTATACAGGGAATTCAATAACTTTTTGGGGCGTGAAATCACAAGTTCGGGAATTTTTTCGTAATAGTGACGAGGGTCTCTTTTGGAACGTGGAAATATATTTTATATTGAATTTCTGGTTGGTTAGAAATCTAGACTTTTGGAGAATGTCATTATGTTAAGGTTTCCGTATCGGCGAATATTGGCACTCAATGGATATTGCCGAATTATTTGGCACGGTTTTGACTTGAAAGCATTTTTATTACAATCAAAGCTGCAAAGCTGGTGCTGTGAA